CCTTCTCACGGCTTTTTCTTTGGGCCGGGCAGCCCGGTGGGAAGATGGTAGCTGCAGCCAAGGCCACTGTCCCCACTGTCACGGACCAAGCCTCTGCGATGCAGCTCAGCCAGTGTGCCAAAAACTTGGCCGCGGCTCTGGCTGAGCTCTGCACGGCCACCCAGAAGGTGAGAGGCTGGGTCCCGTCATGCAGCAGAACCCTGGCTACACAGAGCAGGGTGGGGATGGCAGGGCAATGGGGAGAGCCCGATAGCAGGTCACAGTCTCTGCCACGGCAGGGTGGGCTTGGTGGTCGCCCCGCTCACCTTCCCTTCTCCCCATCGCAGGCTCAGGAGGCGCGCGGACCCCTGGAGATAGACTCCGCACTGGGTCTCGTGCAGAGCCTGGAGAGGGACTTGCAGGAAGCTAAGGCAGCTGCCCACGACAGCAAGCTCAAGCCTCTGCCGGGAGAGACAGTGAGGGCGTGGGGAAGGGCGGCGTGGGATGGGTGCTGGGGCAGGGGAGCCACCGGGGTGGAGGCTGGAGGTGCAGCCCACCAGCATGTCCCCACTCATCTCCCCACAGATGGAGAAGTGTGCCCAAGACCTGGGGAACAGCACGAAAGCCGTCAGCTCTGCCATTGCTCACCTTCTGGGAGAGGTGGCCCAGGGCAATGAGAACTACACAGGTACTGGCCTCCGCACCGGGGCTGGGAGAGAGGAGGGGGCCACACTAGCAGCGAATGACCTCTCCACTCCCCCCAGGGATTGCTGTCTGAGAGGTGGCCCAGGCCCTGCGCTCGCTCAGCCAGGCTGCCCGTGGTGTGGCAGCCAGCACCTCTGACCCACAGGTGCAGAGTGCCATGCTGGAGTACGCTGGCGATGTCATGGATAAAGCCAACAATCTCATTGAGGAGGCGTGGAAAGCGGTGGCAAAGCCCAGTGACCCGGAGAGCCAGCAGCGCCTGGCTCAGGTGGGGGGAGCCCCGGTGCCCCCTGCCAGCCCACAAGAAGGGCATGCGGCTGGCCAGGGGATGGTGACCACTCTTTGCTTCTCCGCAGGTGGCCAAGGTGGTGTCACAGGCCCTGAGTCGCTGTGTCAGCTGCCTGCCAGGACAGCGGGACATGGACGCTGCCATCTGCATGGTGGGAGAGGCCAGCAAGAGGCTGCTCATGGATTCAGCGAGCTGAGCCGGGGTGGGAGGGGAAGGTGGGGAAGCCTTGTAGGGATGCAAACTGGTCTGTCCACGCTGGGTTCCTCTCTAGCGTGTCCCCAAGCAGGTGCCAAATCTTCATCCTCCGTCTCTATCCTCTTCACCGCCTCTCCTAACCCCTCTCCCTGCCTCCAGTTCCCTCCCAGCACTAAGAGCTTCCAGGAGGCGCAGAGCCAGCTGAACCGGGCGGCCGCGGGGCTCAACCAATCTGCCGACAAGCTGGTGCAGGCGTCGCGTGGCACCCCTCAAGACCTGGCCACGTCCTCTGGCAAATTTGGGCAGGACTTCAATGAATTCCTGCAGGCAGGAGTGGAGATGGCCAGCCAGTCCCCGGTGAGAGCAAATACCCATTGGGGGATCCTGGGTATGGTGAGAGGTTTGGGGTGCCTGGGAAGGCAGCTGACTGCAGGCAGGGTGGCTGGGCAGCAGTGGTTAGGGTGGCTGTGGCCAACGCAACTGGTGAAATGGGGTTTGGGGCTGCACAAAACTACAGCAGCAGGGGGAAAGAGGCTTGTATTTCCTTGCTGTTGGCGGACAAGTTGTTATGAAGGGAACTGGCTCAGCTTGGAAACCACTGGAGAAGACCCAGGGTTGGTGTGGAGCTTGGAAACCTGTTGCAGGTAACTCTTCTTGGCTCCTTGCAGAATAAGGAAGACCGGGTGCAGGTGGCGTCGAACTTGAGCATCTCCACGTCCTCCAGTAAGCTGCTGCTGGCTGCAAAGGCGCTCTCTGCCGACCCTGCAGCTCCCAGCCTCAATAATCAGCTGGTGGCAGCGGCATGGTAGGAGGAACCGCTCCCTGTGAGCTGTTTGCTGTAGCAGTGGGGCCAGGTGACGGAGCCAGCATTGATCCATGGGTCTCTCTCCCTGTCCCTGGCAGGGCCGTGACCAACAGCATGTGCACCCAGTAGGCGCCAGGCCAGAAGGAGTGCGACAATGCCCTGTGGGAGCTGGAGGTGAGAAACCACATCTCGTCAAGGCAGTGGAGGGGCTGAGATGGCTGGGTGCTGAGATGGTGAGGAGGGGGCAGCTGCGCTCCACTGTGAGGGGCGGGAGGGAGCGAAGAAGAGGTGCAAGCGGAGAGCATGGACCCTTCCCCTGGATGTGACAGCCATGTCCCTGCAGACAGTGAAGGAGCTGTTGGAGAACCCCACCCAGACTGTCAACGACATGTCCTACTTCAACTGCCTCAACAGCATCATGGAGAACTCCAAGGTGAGCCCTGAGCTAGGGGTGGAGGTTTGGGGAAGGATGGGAAGGTTTGGGAAGGATGTGGGGACAAAAGGAAAGGTAGTTCCTCCCGTGTTGATGAAGCACAGTGAGCTCTGAGCCTGGGAGCACTGCAGGAGTGGGAGGTGGTCTCTAACTGGTGCGTGGTGTGTCCTGCAGGTGCTGGGTGAGTCCATGGCTGGCATCTCCCAGAATGCCAAGAACAGCAAACTGCCCGAGTTCAGTGAGTCTATCGGTGCCGCCTCCAAAGCTCTCTGTGGGCTGACGGAGGCAGCTGCCCAGGTGAGATGCACTCAGTTCCAGCCCCGAGCGTTACACCTGGTGCATAGTTGCCATACACACCCCTCCCTTGCCCCTCCAAGCCTGGCCCCATGGGATGGTGCCTGCTCTGAGCCTCCCCACCGCATGCAAGCTCTCACTGCCTCTCTCATGCTCCCAGGCTGCCTACCTTGTGGGGGTCTCGGACCCCAACAGCCAGGCTGGACAGCAGGGCTTGGTAGACCCCACTCAGTTTGCCAGAGCTAACCAAGCCATCCAGATGGCCTGCCAGAACCTGGTGGATCCTGCCTGCACCCAGTCCCAGGTGAGCATGAGGTGGGGCACTGTTATGGGCATTTTCTTGCACGAAAGGGAGCGTGAGGCTAGCAGGAGGAACTGTGTCCCAAGAGTTGGCCAAAATTATGGGTAGTGTCTTATCAGGCCCCATCAGCTGTACTGGGAACTAGCTGGCAACAGTGACAGTCCAGATAGGGAGCTGTATGGGTGTGCAGGACCTTGACAATCCTTCTTGGGTCCCAAGAGGGACCTCTGTGGTCACTGGTGCCCTGTGTGGGGCTGGTGAGAAGGGAGAGCTGTGGGGATGGGGAGATGCAGTGGGTCCTGCCTCACCCTGCTCTTCCCCACAGGTGCTGTCAGCAGCCACCATTGTATCAAAGCATACCTCGGCCCTGTGCAACACCTGCCGCCTGGCCTCCTCCCGCACTGCCAACCCTGTGGCCAAGCGCCAGTTTGTCCAATCAGCCAAGGAGGTGGCCAACAGCACGGCCAACCTGGTGAAGACCATCAAGGTGCGGTCTCCCTGCTGGGGCGCTGTGGTGTGGATGGGATTTGGGGCATAGTGGGGGCTGGATAACTGCCCCAGTCTCTCTATGCCAGGTCCTGGATGGCATGTTCAACAAGGAGAACCGGGAGCGGTGCCACACTGCCACCACCCCTCTCATAGAGGCCGTGGATAACCTGACGGCCTTTGCCTCCACCCCAGAGTTTGCCACCATTCCTGCCCAGGTCAGCCTGGAGATAGGATGCTGCAGGGGCAGGGAAGGGCTGTGACGGGGGCTGCTGAAGGGTGGGGAGGAGCTGTGTCTCCCCCTGAGCTTGGGATGGGGCCCCAGTGCAGGGCTGGAGCTTGGGGGGTGTGTGATGGGGAGGTGACAGCAAACCTTGGGCTTCAAGGGGCTGCTCCGGGGTGAGGGTCATAGGAGAGGGAGGGGGTAACTTCCCACAGTCCCTCGTCTGTGTCACCAGCCCATCGTCTCCCCGTGCAGGGGTGCAGAGCCATGGAGCCCATTATCTCTTCGGCCAAGACCATGCTGGAGAGCTCTGCTGGCCTCATCCAGACTGCCCGCTCTCTGGCTGTCAACCCCAAGGACCCGCCACAGTGGTCAGTGCTGGCTAGCCACTCTTGCACTGTCTCAGACTCCATCAAGAAGTTGATCACCAACATGAGGTGAGGCAAGTCCTGCCCGCTTGGCCATGGCCCTGTCCCCACTGGTGGGTACCCCTGCTCAGGCTTACTCCAAGTGAGCATCCTCAGGGATGTTTTGGCTCATCTTCTCCTCGGCCGCTGCCGGGGGGGCACAAGGGATGGGATGGAAGATGCCATCCCTTGTCTTGTACGGGAGCTGCTCCTCCAGCCCTGGCACAGGTTGATGGGGACGTGTGTTGGTATGCCTGGGCTCTGACACCAGGTTGCCCCCAGCCCAGAAGAAGGGGTCCTGCCCCTCACCAGCACCATCTGAGGCCAGGGGCGAAGGGATGGCATAGTGCCTGCCAGTGCTGGGCTGATCTGTCTGTCACGCAGGGACAAAGCTCCGGGACAGTGGGAGTGTGATGAGGCCATCGAGGTGCTGAACAGATGCATGCGGGAAGTGGACCCTTGCTGCCATCAGCCAGCAGCTGGCCCCCCGAGAAGATATCTCCCAGGAGGTGGGTTGGGGACACACTGCTGCAAGCTCAACTGGGGCAGGTGTCTCCCCCTGGCTCCCAGCAGCGCGCAGTGACCCCAGCCCCACTGCAGCCTCACGCGACACCCTCTTTGCGACAGGCTTTGCACAACCAGATGATCACGGCTGTTCAGGAGATCAGCAACCTGATTGAGCCCATGGCCAGCACAGCATGGGCTGAGGCCTCACAGCTGGGGCACAAGGTAATGTGGGGACAGGGATGGGGAGCTGCTGCTGAGGCGCTCAGTGCATGTGGAGGAGCTCACAGTGGGAGGAGAGACGCGAGGCAGCTGGGGCTGGAAGCTGCTGGCGCTGACGCTGCTCTTCCCTAGGTGTCCCAGATGGCTCAGTACTTTGAGCCTCTCATTATAGCGGCTATCAGCGCTGCCTCCAAAACACCCAACCACCAGCAGCAGATGAACCTCCTGGACCAGACCAAAACGCTGGCCGAGTCCGCCCTGTAGATGCTGTATACGGCCAAGGAGGCCGATGGGAATCCGAAGGTGAGCAGGAGGAGCACATGTCAACAGCATGCTCCCCTTCACACGTGGGTGCCACGTGAGAGGCTTGGCCATGTGCCACAAATGCGTATGCCAGACACAGAAACCTGGCCGGGGCTGCCGTAAGTGTGCGGCATCCCTGGTGGGAGGGGAGCTGCTGCCTGCCTTAGATCGGGAGAGCGGTTCTGGAGGAGGCCAGGCAAATGATGAAGGAAGCGGTGGAGGACCTGACCACCACCCTGAATGATGCAGCCAGCGCTGCAGGTGTTGTGGGGGGCATGGTGGACTCCATCACCCAGGTCATCAACCAGGTGAGGGGAGCGTGGAGAGGACCTGGCTAGGGATGAGTGTGGAGGAGAGGAAGAGCCAGTCAAACCCTACAAGGTCTCTGGGCTGGGGCTGGAGGCAGACTCTCCTGATGGTCTCTTGCAGCTGGACGAAGGGCCAATGGGCGAGCCAGAGGGGACCTTTGTGGACTACCAGACCACGATGGTGAAGACGGCCAAGGCCATCGCAGTGACTGTGCAGGAAATGGTGGGTGTGAGCAAGCCTGTCACCATAGAAAGTGGGCCTGTCACCCAGGCAGGGCAACCACCCTCCTTGCTTGCCTGTACCAGCATAGGGCCCCTCCATCTCCTGCTCTTCTTCCATTGGCAGGTCACCAAATCCACCACCAACCCAGATGAGCTGGGCATACTGGCCAACCAGCTCACCAACAACTATGGGCAGCTGGTGCAAGAGGCCAAGCCGGCTGCACTCACCGCCGAGAATGAGGAGGTGCGAGCATGGGGTGTGCCATGGGGGCAGAGCAGGATCTGCTGGGGCATGAGAGCAGAGGACAGGGGCGCTTGAGCCTCCCATCGGAGCTGGGGGCAGGCAGTATTCAGACCTCCCTTGCAACACGGTGTGGAAACGTGGAGTAAAGCCATGTTTTCTTTTTCTTCCTCCTGAGTTGGGAGGACTGGGAGAGGTGGGGGTGGCTGGTGTTTCCCAGCGGGTATCACGGATGTGAGAGCTTAGTTCCCCACTGGCTCTCTCACATACGTGTTCCCCTCCAGGTTGGCTCCCACATCAAGAGCCGGGTGCAGGAGCTGGGTCATGGCTGTGCTGCCCTGGTCACTAAGGCTGGAGCCCTGCAGTGCAGCCCCAGCGATGCCTACACCAAGAAGGAGCTGATGGAGAGCATGTGCAAGGTTTCTGAGAAGGTGAGCGGCCCAGAGAGAGGTGCGATGGCGTGGTGAGGTGGGAGGGATGCTGGATTGAGCCACGTGCCCTTGGAGCCACCGTGCTGGGTTCTCCCCTGGTCCTGTTGGGTTCTGTCAGCTCTCAGCCACGCTTGCCCTGGCCTGATTCAGCTGATGGGGTGGAGGATGTATCCCCCTCTCCAGGCACTTGTAACAGCAGCTGATGCTGTGATGGGTGAGTGTGACATCCAGATGCTGCCTGCTGACATGCCGATGATGTCCTGCTAGGGAAGACTAATCTACACACTGGTGGCAGCCCAAGGCCCTCCAAATCAGCTCTTGTAGTGGTGGATGTAGCATTTGCTGTGTCTCTAGCCAGCCTGCAGCTCATGCTGGGTGATTGATCTCTCCTGTACCTTTTGCTGGCATGGTGGAAAGCGTCCTGTCTGTCAGTCAATCTAAAGAGCACACTTCTGAATAACAGACAAAAATATGGCTAAAACCCTCTAGTTGATAAGGGTAGAGCAGCAATGCTTGTAAGCAAGGTTACAAAAGCAAAACAAACACTTGTTCGTAGTGCCTGGCATGTGTCTGCATGCTCAGGGCCTCCTGCAGGTCCTTCCTTTCCAAGATTGCTTTCCATCAGGAAACATGTTCTCCTATGAGTGCTTGCCCAAGTACAGAAATTGAGTTGAGCAGTTAAAGAAGGAATGAGCTGCAGTGTTCTGATGTCCATCGTGCAAACCATATTCATTTGGAAACTAGCAGAGTTCAATATCTCCTGGACCCTCAAACACAATAGGTACAAGGTAAAAATATGGAAGCTAAGAAGGGGTGTCCAGACCACACGATTCCCAATTCCCCTCCTTGGTGTGAAGTGGCTTCATCCTGGGGAGGTGTCAGAGGAGATGTGCAGTGAGGGTTGCCTGAATCTGCTCTGCTCCCCCAGTCACCCTGCTTGTACCCCGCAGGTGTCTCACGTGCTGGCAGCCCTGCAGGCTGGGAACCACGGGACACAAGCCTGCATCACAGCAGCCAGCACCGTCTCCGGCATCATTGCTGACCTCGACACCACCATCATGTTTGCCATGGCAGGAACCTTCAATCGGGAGAACTTGGAGATCTTTGCTGACCACAGGTACCTGGGTGCCTCGCCAGAGATGGGGGGGGCAGACTGTGTCCTGCAGTCTCCTGTCTTTCTGAGCTGTGGACCAGCCCCAAGGAGAGCTGCAAGTTCAGGTCATGCTGGCTCTGTTTCCCCTCCAGCTCATACGTACAGAAGGCAGGGTCTAGAGTCGCTCTACGCCCCAAGGAGCATGTGTGTGTAGTGGGCTGTGTCCTCTCTGACTCCCTTCTTCTCCCTAGGGAGGGCATCTTGAAGACAGCCAAGGCGCTGGTGGAGGACACCAAGGTGCTGGTGCAGAATGCCACAGCCAGCCAGGAGAAGCTAGCCCAGGCTGCCCAGTCCTCTGTGTCCACCATCACCCACCTGGCAGAGGTGGTGAAGCTGGGTGCTGCCAGCCTGGGATCTGAAGACCCAGAGACTCAGGTGGGATGGGGTGTGTGGGGTGAATGGAGGCTGCTCATAGCTTGCTTGAAGGGGCTGAGGGTTGAAGGTGTTTGTGTGGTGCTCTGGGCTGGACTCTGCGTGTATACACGTGTGCCCTGGGGTGTCCAGATTTCCCACTGCTGGGCCACACCAGCCCCAGCCTGAGTGTAACCATAGCCAAGCTGTTGCCCTGGTCTTGTTCTCCCCCAGGTGGTCCTGATCAATGCTGTGAAGGATGTGGCCAAGGCACTTGGGGACCTGATAAGTGCCACCAAGGCAGCTGCTGGCAAAGTTGGGGATGACCCTGCTGTCTACCAGCTGAAGAACTCTGCCAAGGTCTGAGCTGGACCTGATGGGAAGGAGGGTATGGGGCAGGGGGGCTGGAGAAAGAGCAGGGGGGCTTCTCTGCTTGCTTGGTGGCAGGAGGACAACTGGGGGGCAGTCAGGGCAAAGGGGGAGGAAGGGGCACATAAAAGGTGGAGCACAACATGCAAGAGGAGGCATTGATGGGAGAACAAGATGAGGTGGTGCGAGTGGAGTATGGGGACGGGGCAGTTTTGGACCAAACCATGAGGGAGGGACAGGTGCCGGCAGCAGCCCAGAGCTTGCATGGGGCTTCACCTGGTGCTCTTCTCCCTTTCACAGGTGATGGTGACGAACGACACTTCCTTGCTGAAGACTGTGAAGGCCATCGAGGACAAGGCCACGAAGGGGACACGGGTGCTGGAGGCCACAATAGAGCACATACGCCAAGAACTGGCAGTGAGTACAGCCATGGTGGCGTGGCTGCCGTCCTGCCCACCAGCTGCCCCCACACCTCACCGCTGCTTCTCGCCTCACAGGTCTTCTCTTCTCCCGTGCCTTCCGCCAAGGTCTCCACCCCGGAGGACTTCATCTGTATGACGAAAGACATCACGATGGCCACGGCCAAAGCGGTGGCCGCTGGCAACTTGTGTCGGCAGGAGGACGTCATCGCCACAGCGAACCTGAGCCACTGTGCCACTGCAGATATGCTGCGCGCCTGCAAGGTACGGCAGGGGTCAGCGGGGGCTGTGGGTCTAGCACGGGTTTGTGGGGGGCAGCATGCACCCCGCAGGGGAGGTGCCTGGATGTCAGTCGGGGTTTGCTGTCTCTGGGTTTCAGGAAGCCACCTACCACCTGGAGGTGAACGGGGACGTGTGGCAGCGGGCACTGCGCTTTGGCAAGGAGTGCACCGATGGCTACCTGGAGCTGCTGGAGCATGTGCTGGTGGTGAGTGTCTCTGCCCTGGTTCCCAGGGTGGGCAGAGGCTGCCCGTGGATGCCAGGGTGCTTCCCAAACCCCCAAGGTCCTCTGGGCTCTGCACCTCCTCCCACTAAGGTCTTTGCACAGCCCCCTTCACTGCCTGTGCTGGCACAGCACATGGCTGAGCCCCTGCCATGGAAGCAGATGTCAGAGAGATGAACAGGCTCTGAGGAAAGGTATTTGGCTAACAACAGACGGAGATTAGCTGGCTGTAAACAGGTGGAGGCTGGAAATTCAACAACACAGGAGCAAAATCCTGAAGCAGCTTCCAGTGAGAGTGGTGGGAGTAAGAGACTTCAGCCAGCGGGTGAGGGGCAGAGCCCCCAATGGCTGAGGTGATGACTGCAAGTGCCAGCTGCACCCTTTTGATCCAGTCTTCCTCTAGCTTAGTCCTGAGGACTTCAGCTGGCTGCTTTAATTAACTGTCCTACAAGATGAGTGTAGTTTACAAGAAGCAAATTAAGACCGGATTAACCAAGAGAGTGGTAGAAAGGATCCAGTGAAGTCCTCCCAGCAGTTTGCGTTCTTGACGAGGTCACAAAGGTGGAGTCAAGGGCGCTGGAGGGATGTGCAGACCTACACCCGTGGAGCTGCAAGAGCCCTCAAACTGGGGTCAGGACAAAGATTGAGGGTGAGTCAGCTCTGCAGCAGGGTTTCACTAAGCTGGTTAGAAGGGCTCGGTAAGAGAGTGCTATTCAGGTTCACCAGATAGAAGGCAGTGGAGCTCAGACTGTGGTTTCCCACAGGGAAAAAGCCCCTTTAGGCAGAGGGTAACCAACGCTGGCAGCACAAAGAGGAGGTGGGCAGGAATCAACAGCTAGAAATTGAAGCTGGGTGGAGGGGAGGTCAAAGGACGGTTTTATCCAAAGGAGGTAACCACTGGGGTACAGTTCCAAGGGGAGCAGTGAGTTTTCAGTCCTCTGCATCTAGATCAAATATCTGTCTGGAAGATGCTTTAGCCACATGTAAGTCATCGCAGCCAAGGCTGTAGTGCTAAGGAAAAATTCTCTGGCTGACCTGTTGTTAACAGATGATTGGGCTAATGACTTACTGTGGCAGTGCCCAAGGTCAGCCTACTTGCAGGAACACGCTATTCTGCTGTATTTTGGGTGTAACCGTCCAGCTGCTATGTGGCATGTCTTGAATATCATACATGCGTTACATCCCCTGAAACATTCACTGGAGGTGCAGCTTAGTAAGCGCATAGCTTCCAGGCTGCCTTCAGCTCCTGATAGAGATCATTCAGCAGTTTTAAACATGTCGTCAGAGCAGACAGCAGACTTCATAATGTGGCATTTTGTCTGGATGCGCTTATGAGGGCAAACCGTCTATCGCTGTGTGCCATCAGCTCGGGGACTCTGAGCCACGTGCAGCTCTAGTGAAATCCTGGATGGGGTAGCCACTGAGTGCAGGAAGGCTTGCACTGAGGGACTTGTGTCTACGAGATGTCCCAGAGGCTGTGGACACTCATCCCATCCTCGGACAGGAGACCAGCCAGGGTCACTTGAGAAAGCATCACAGACAATGCCCAATACATACACACATGTAGTGGGGCTGGGGGATCCCACTCTCCTTCCCTGGGGAGCGCACCCCAAACAGGCCAGTGCCCCCCCCCCCTTTTCCAGATGCCTCCCTCTGCTCCTTCCCCACAGATCCTGCAGAAGCCAACTCACGAGCTGAAGCAGCAGCTGGCAGGCTACTCCAAGTGCGTGGCCAGCTCTGTCACTGAGCTCATTCAGGCAGCCGAGGCCATGAAAGGTAAGGAAAGGTCCTGCTTAAGGAGGCAGGACTGAGATTAGGGTGGAGGGCTCAGCAGCTGCTGGAGGAGGTAGGGCAAGTCAGAAATGAGGTTGCACGCAGGTTTAACCTGCCTCGCTTCCCGGTTTTTCTAGGGATGGAGTGGGTTGACCCAGAAGACCCCACCGTCATAGCTGAGAATGAGCTGCTGGGGGCAGCGGCTGCTATTGAGGCTGCAGCCAAGAAGCTGGAGCAGCTGAAACCAAGGGCCAAGCCCAAGGTGTAGTGGTGCTGAGCCCCATGCTCAGCTTGGGGCAGGCTGGGGCTCTCCTGCCTGGGCCCCGGCCAGACGTGAAGGGGGC